TAGGGCAAAATATAATCAAAGGAGAAAAATACACGGAGACTATTAAAAGTGCTAGGAGTATAAGACTACATGTTTCGGAAGGATAAACGGTTCTTGATTTATCCATAGCATCCGCGATGTAAAATCTGAGGTGAAATCAACGATAAGTCACATCTTTAAAACAATAATAAAAAAGAAAGAGCTGGTAAGGGAGAACAGCTACCTGTCCTGTGTATTGGGAGAGGGCACAAAAGCAACTTTTAGTATCAACAGGTAGAGGGAAAAGATGGTCCACCAAATCTGATGTTACCTGCTCTGCTCTATATGACTTCAGAAATGCCGATTTAGATAGATTACCACACTATTCCATTTCTTAAGTGCACAAATCAATTGGCGATTTTGGATCATTATAAACTGGTTTATCAATAAGCCGCAACAAATTGTACACTAAATCAGTACATATTTTGTAATATAATTTGTTTTAAATGCACAAATAGAATACCTATTGTAATTGTTTCTGCACAAAAATCTAATGTGTAGATAACAGTTATAAAAGAAAATATTGCTACAGATAGAAATAATTAAATATCCCTAGTGATAAAAATAATTGTAGAAGCCATTCTAGGGGTCTCTTGATTACCTGTGATCCGAGTATTGTGACTTAGTGAGATGTCAGGCTACTGTGTCCAGATTATGACATCACAATGAAATGGCACTTTAAATTGGTCTTGTAATATGCAAGTGGGCACCATACAGCCAGTGGCCACGCTCAACGTTACTCGATTGTAGGTAACGAATCCCACATTTATACCACATCGTTGGAAAAGCTTGGTTGCCCGTACGGCAGTGATCAATGGTGTCTCCTATTCCTTGGCTTCCAGTCTTTGATTGGCCTCACTCATTTGCAGACATTCATTATGTGACCTTAATTGTTGCAAAGATGTAATTTCCTAAACATGAATGTATATAAGGAATGCTTAAAAATATCTCAGTATACAAAAGATAGTTACTTTTCTTACAATAAACAATATAAGCTTTTACTGACATGTTTGTGTATTTGTGATTGAAGGGAGACAACAAGTAACCCAAATTTTACGATGGCCGATAAGGGCCGGCAGACTGCCCGGCAGTTTTCTCAGAGAAAAATATGTCCGGCAGAAACATATCATGACTAAATATACAAATCTGCCCGACGGTTTGTTTGGTGAAAAAGATGTCCGACAGAAAGGTACTTTGCAATATATCTACCAGATAAAAGGGGTTAGCACTGGAGTGATATCTACAGAACACGAATCATTATCCCAAAATTAATTACTTTAACCTTTACGCGGTCTGAGTAAATGGCAGCGGACACCAATATAACTCACGTGTGAAACAAAGCCCAGCTACATAACTACACATATGTTTCTAACTAAAAACTAATTAGCATATATCATTTAAGCAGTATTATCATCTGTAATATGTGCATGCCATTGAAAGTCATTTGTGTTTGATGTACTTTATGTGTCTTTTACATGCAGTATGATTTCTGATGTCAAATAAATTAATTATACTAGAAATCAGAAAAAAATCGTTTAGTTTCAGAACTATTGATATTTGGAATGGTCCGCCCGATTATGTCATAAATTCAACAACTATAAGAGACTTCGAAATCAATTTAGACAAACATTAGCAAAATCTAGAGCTTAGATACAATAATTCGGCTAGTTACAGACGGATATCAGGAAGTGACAAATCATATTATGTATATGTAACATTATAAGGTGTGGATGTAGAGGCAGTCAGTGCCTGTGTCCAGTACTCATCCTATTAACAAATGTGTCCAGTACTCATCCTATTAAAATGACGAAAATAATCTGATGATCGTACATAATGTATAGAAATGAGCACATTCTAATGTCTCCCAGTAATATTGATAATTTCTCTTTGAAAGGCATTTATTCTAAAAATTGATTATAAAGATAGAGGGAATGAGATTAAATTCCCACTAGTCGGTGATGGCGAATTTACTCTTAATGATTTGCGTTATTATTGTTTTAAAATTATTTTATTCCTCTCATTGCTTCGACATCCGGAATTAAGCCGGCCAGTAAATGACGTGAGAAATATTAACATTATTACAATGTTACCCCTAATACAATATGCAATTACACATTATTATCTATACTTAAACCCGTACGGAGCTCTGAAAACTGTAGTTGTTATGTTTATTCTTATCCCCATTTCCAGAGAGAAGAAGGGCTACTTTTCATACGTTTCAGGACAAATTTTTCTCTAAGAAAACTGCCGGGCAGATTTATGTGAAGTCATGATTATTTCTGCCAAACAGATTTTTTTCGGAGAAAACAGCCGGACCGATTTATAACAAATCATGATACGTTTCTGCCGGCCCATATCGGCTATCGTAAAATTGCCAGTAAGGCAGCATTTTTTCTTCATATTCCTTGGCTGTCATGGTCTTTGATTGGACTCACCATATGCAGACATCATAATGTGACCTTAGTTGGCGTAAAGATGTATTTTCCCAAACATATATGATAAAGACTGAAAAATATTTCAGTATACTAAAGACGGTTACCTTTCTTACAATAAACAAGATAAGCTATTTCTTACAATCTTACTATTCGAAGGGCGGACTACATGTTTGTGTAGTTGTGATTGAAGGCAGACAACCAGTAATATAAAGTCATAGCGAATCCCTTCGCCACGCATTCAGAGGAAGAAGTAGTACAAAGTGGGCTGTCTGAAAAGACCTAAGGATTCTGTAAGGTAATGGTGACCCCATCTTGTTGTGTCTTGGTCTACAGAAGTTCTTTCTATTTTAGATTTACCATGTGGCCGTGGTAAAGATCCCCCAGGTGTAGTGGGTTTTTTTCTGTATAACATATATTTGTGTTGTTAATGTCGTTTATTAATGACGTATCAGTCAAGACTTATCTTGATCAAATATCACAATACTTAAACATCTACTCCATACTATACATGTTGATCTTAACAGATGGCTATAACAGCAAAGACGGGGTAAAAAATCGGCCTCCTCACAATACAAACATGTGTAACAAGCATAGAGTACTCAAATTATAATCTTAATCATAAACCACAGGTGTAATGAATACAATAGAAATGTATATGAAGACATGCACAGTAATATCATGTGAAATTGAAAGATTCAGTTCAGTATGATGTGACCCAGCAGTGTAAAGTTTGGGTGGGAGAAATTAGGGAGGGAAATTAAAAAGTACAGAATTAGTTTTAGAAGTTTGTTAAATGTTCTACACCCTCGCTACTGCTGGGTAATGACGCCTCTGATGACAACGGATGGTCAACGACCTTTGTGATTGGTCCAGAGGCTGGAGATAAGACTTATGATTAGACAGCCAATGATCGCTCGTTAATTTTAGACCCCTGACCAACGATGGGTAGTATTGGGCCTGGGAATTTTCCATCAGGCGTGAGAGCCATGTCCTACTACGTAACTACCCGACCTGCCAGCCCTGTGGCAAATTATTACATAACTACACTGAACATACAACCGTATAGGGTACTAAGACAAAAAATAAAGGTGAACTAAATAAATGTGATAAAAATACATCTAGGACGTTCTGCTAAGTAAAAATACTGAGACTAACATACCATTATTTACAGTTTTGAAGCGTACAACATTAAACGTCACTTGTGGGTATATGTACAGTGGGTGCACACCATTAAATACAAACTAGAGGAAGTCACTGGCACTTGTAAGTATGTGCACCTATTTACATGGGGTATACACTATAAGATCAGTCTCTCAGGATCGCTTTATTTGTAATAAAAATAAACTGCTATTTTCTGATGATTTTGTAAGAGACCATTCATCGTCATCTATCTGAAATATATATATATCATAAATAAAGCGATCTGTGTCCTTGTATATCTGTATAATCTAAAGCCAAGGGTATCGCTCTCGATATATCATCTTCTCCACACCTTTAGAACATAATTATCACGACAAAACCAAGGGCGATTAACGCGACACCTGATGGGTGATACAAACAAATTAAATTGTCACTGTTAGAGTTATCCTTTAAATAATGTTCACATATAAATGTTAGTGGAACGTTAGTGCCTGTATAATGAAATTTTTAATTTTTAATGTATGCAATCTGAAATGCAATGAAGAATCTTGATGTTGCTACTCGGGTTTTCTAAAGAAAATATCTTGACTAAGCTGATATCTCCGAAGGTCATAGGAGTTGCACGGCAGCGTAACGGTAAACTAAGGCAGGTTTTAAAGTTGAGTGTTACTCTAATATCTTCAAAATACAGATACCGGCCTGTCGAATATCTCAAAACCGATCAAAAACCGCAGCTCACAATGAGCTTTTAGTCGTGTCATGGCCTATTCCCTATCGGGAACCGATTCGGTCTATTCCAAGAGTGCATGTGTATATATATCGAGAGCACATTTTCAAACCTATATTATTAAGGATACCCTTGAAATTAACAATTTTATAGGTGCATTTATGTGTGTTTTAGGAGTATAATTTATGCATCACAACATACTAAAATAATGCTCAATTTGTCAATATATCTTATTTAACAATATTGTATATATAAATATGTATATTGTTACAATAAAATTTATACACGGCAACATATTGTTAATTATGCTCAAGTAATCAATATATTTAATTTCACAGTATTGCATACATAAGTAATTAAATATGCATGTGTTACAGTATACATCTCAACATGTGTTTGTTTATTGGGGGTTAAACGTCCTCGCAACAGCCGTGGGGGGGGGGTAAACGTTCTCNGGGGGGGGGGGGGGGGGGGTAAACGTTCTCGTAACAGCCAGGGTCATATGAGGATGGTAAACCTCAACATATTGTTAATAATGCTCAAATAATCAATACAGTTTAATTAACAATACTTTATATCGAAGTATGTCTGTCGTTGCTGTGTATCTGTTACCACAGCTGTATCACCTGTTGAATGGTACGTTTAGACTGCGTAATTTCTGTCATTGCTTAAAATAACTAACATGATTCAGTCTGGTAGGGTGAGAGATTGTAATGAGGCACAGCTGGATCACTATCTGTACGTATTATCGGTACATACATGTAAGTACCTGATGAAGGTTATATTTGTACTGCTTAATTCTTGTCGTTGACTTAGTAACATAATTCAGCCTCTTAAGGTCAGATTTATACTAAGGTACATCTGTTTTACTAAATGTACGCATTACCTGGTACATTTTCACCTGTAGAAGGTTATATTTGTGCTACTTTATTCTGTTCGTTTACTTACCAATATAGTTCAGTCCTGTATGGTCAGCTTTTGAATTGAGGACGACGGGATGAAGTTTAACATAATAGCGGCTATGTGTACTACAAACAGAGGGATAGGCTATGAGAACCGACTGCCCTGGCCCACACTACCGTAAGTAAGATAGATATCATACCCTTGCTACAAACAGAGGGATAGGCTATGAGAACCGACTGCCCTGGCCCACACTACCGTAAGTAAGATAGATATCATACCCTTGCTACAAACAGAGGGATAGGCTATGAGAACCAACTGCCCTGGCCCACACTACCGTAAGTAAGATAGATATCATACCTTTGCTACAAACAGAGGGATAGGCTATGAGAACCTACTACCCTGGCCCACACTACCGTAAGTAAGATAGATAGCATACCTTGGCTACAAACAGAGGGATAAACTATGAGAACCGACTGCCCTGGCCCACACTATCGTAAGTAAGATAGATATCATACCTTGGCTGCAAACAGAGAGATAGGCTATGAGAACCGACTGCCCTGGCCCACACTACCGTAAGTAAGATAGATATCATACCTTGGCTCTAACAGAGGGATAGGCTATGAGAACCGACTGCCCTGGCCCACACTACCGTAAGTAAGATAGATATCATACCTTGGCTGCAAACAGAGAGATAGGCTATGAGAACCGACTGCCCTGGCCCACACAACCGTAAGTAAGATAGATAGCATACCTTGGCTACAACAGAGGGATAAACTATGAGAACCGACTACCCTGGCCCACACTACCGTAAGTAAGATAGATATCATACCTTGTTTTTCTTATCTTAATGGTATCATTATAATGGAGTTCTGTACATTGTTTTTAAATAAAAATTATAAATTAAAATTATTGGCAATATTTAACGGTCCATTGACAGTCTGTGGAATTAGTGACTGGTCACAAATGTAAATACATCAAGTGCTAATATCATTTTTATCTTGTAGCTGGTATTTATTCTGTCACGAATTTACGCTAGTTAAAGCAAACAGTTACCTGTTGTAGACAAAAATTGTATTTGTGTCGTTAGGGTTAAATGGGTTAACAGACATCTTTTCCCTTTTGCTATTTTTTCTACATATGTTCCGGGACACATTGGTCTCGGACATCCATTGTTGTACCTATGGCTCCAGTCTCTAGAATATTGAATTATTCAGAAAATTAACGCTCAAACTTTGGATCATTTGGATGTCTTATTCTAGTTCTAAACTTGGGGAGAGGAGCTAGTAGTCAAATGCAATCGAGAATTTCTTCATAAAATCTTAGGGGCTGGTAGTCAGTCTACCTATAGGACTGATAGGTCCTTTATAAACAAAATGGCCATAAGGTGGAGTAAAAATATGAACTGTATTTTGTTTGGCCTTCTGCATCAACAAAGTTAAATTGTTGATACGGTACTGGCGATTTTGAATTTCTCGTGATAATTTCAATAGTTAAATGACAAACGTGTGCCTTTACGAATTAAAAATGGAAAAGCAAAATGTATTTTTACTATTATCTCATTATAGAGAAGATATAAATAGCTTTGGTAATGTCAAGATATATGGTCATTATCTGTTTCCAGTGGCGCGATATATAAGAATTTATGAATGAAAGATTAGTTAATTTTCAGAGGAAATTCCAGATAATGATAAATTTTGAAAAAATGTAACAAAGGATGCTGATATTGTTGATTTGGTGTAACTAAGATTGATAGAAATAAATTACAAACCTAAGGGGTTTTCCGTTGTTGTTTATTCATTTATTTATTTTTTATTTGCTTTCAGTCTCAATAAGAATGTTGAATATGATATTAATGGTATTAAATACTATCTAGCAAGTAATTTCTGAACATATGCACGTGCACAGCTGTTGCAAGAGCGTGTATATGTAATGAGTGTATAACAGCCATATGGAAACTGTCGGAGAGGACTATAGGATTGGTCCTTGTCCGTCGGTTTCCGCAAGCTAGGAAAAGTTTGTATTTAATTTTGGGGTAGAAAATCCTTCGAGAACACCTTAAAAAATATTGATAAAAACTAATGTTTCGAGTGGAGGGTAAGTGTTATCTGTGGTTTCCTTTTTGTTTCAGAAATGAATACAGATACTTCATGGATTTGACTGCAAAGACATCGTCCCCAGGTTGGTGTTTACACCATTAAAACAATAGACTGCATGGCTTCAGTACCATCTGTTACCTGGTAATAATAAGGTTTACACTGACTATAGAACTGTGTTAAAACGTGGTTATCACTAATATTCTGCTCCATTTTATCATTTTGTAAATAAATACAAAAATATTGAAGGTTGGATGCCAACAACTGAGTCCCTATGCAGACTGCGTGAACAGATACAGGCTTTTATATTGCAGAATGTAAAATTAGGTATTTCGTGCGCTCATAATTGAAAACACACTGAAATAAAGAAATATTAGATAAGAAAATCTTAATGACTTTAAATCTATTAAAAAATACCTTGACACATGTTTACCATGTACTTTTATGAAAATTACAAACAGCGAATTAAGTTAACATCTGTCATCACATTTTATTGGCCTTTCACTGATTTCCCTATATATAAGTCAACCAATATGCTGAGTAGCGCAACCACCTTCCTATAGATATACAGCTACGTAAAACAGTCCGCTTGTTTTAATTCTCATGTAGTCACTTTTCCTTTTGATTTTATCATTGTAAATTGTTTTGCGACAAAGTATATCATTACAACTTTAATGATAGAATTAACTCTCTTGCAGATAGAAAATGTGTTAACATAAGGGGGAGAGTCACGTGGCAGTGTGCCAGCCAGGAAGGAAGATCACGAGACGTCTTCAACATAGTCATCAGTCGCAACCCAAGGTAGTATATGTAATGTTCTCAACAAGTGTTTTAGTATAGCACACAAGGTATTATATGTAATGTTCTCAACACGTGTTTAGTATAACACCCAAGGTATTATATGTAATGTTCTGAACAAGTGTTTTAGTAAACAAAATATATTTGTGTAGATAGTACACCCAAGGTATTACATGTAATGTTCTCAACAAGTGTTTTAGTATAACACCCAAGGTATTACATGTAATGTTCTCAACACGTGTTTAGTATAACACCCAAGGTATTACATGTAATGTTCTCAACAAGTGTTTTAGTATAACACCAAAGGTATTATATGTAATGTTCTCAACAAGTGTTTTAGTAAACAAAATATATTGTGTAGATAGTACACCCAAGGTATTACATGTAATGTTCTCAACACGTGTTTAGTATAACACCGAAGGTATTACATGTAATGGTCTCAACAAGTGTTTTAGAATAACATCCAAGGAATTACATGTAATGTTCTCAAGTGTTTTAGTAAACGAAATATATTTGTGTAGATAGAATACCCAAGGTATTATATGTTATGTTCTCAACAAGTGTCTTAGTATAACACCAAAGGTATTATAAGTAATGTTCTCAACAAGCGTTTTAGTAAACAAAATATATTTGGGTAGATAGTACACCCAAGATAGTATATTTAATGTTCTCAACAAGTGTTTTAGTATAACATCCAAGGAATTACATGTAATGTTCTCAAGTGTTTTAGTATAACACCCAAGGTATTACATGTAATGTTCTCAACAAGTGTTTTAGTATAATACCCAAGGTATTACATGTAATGTTCTCAACAAGTGGTTTAGTATACAAAATATATTTGTGTAGATAGTACACCCAAGGTAGCATATTTAATGTTCTCAACAAGTGTTTTAGTATAACACCCAAGGTATTATATCTTCTGTTCTCAACAAGTGTTTTAGTATAACACCCGAGATATTATATCTTCTGTTCTCAACAAGTGTTTTAGTATAACACCTGAGGTATTATATCTTCTGTTCTCAACAAGTGTTTTAGTATACAAAATATATTTGAGTAGATAGTACACCCAAGGTATTATATGTAATATTTTCAACAAGTGTTTTAGTATAACATCCAAGGAATTACATGAAATGTTCTCAAGTGTTTTAGTATAACACCCAAGGCATTACATGTAATGTTCTCAACAAGAGTTTTAGTATACAAAATATATTTGTGTAGATAGTACACCCAAGGTAGCATATGTAATGTTCTCAATAAGTGTTTTAGTATAACACCCGAGGTATTATATCTTCTGTTCTCAACAAGTGTTTTAGTATAACACCCGAGATATTATATCTTCTGTTCTCAACAAGTGTTTTAGTATACAAAATATATTTGTGTAGATAGTACACCCAAGGTATTATATGTAATGTTCTCAACAAGTGTTTTAGTATAACACCCAAGGTTTTACATGTAATGTTCTCAACAAGTGTTTTAGTAAACAAATATATTTGTGTAGATAGAATACCCAAGGTATTATATGTAATGTTCTCAACAAGTGTTTTAGTATAACACCCAAGGTATTACATGTAATGTTCTCAACAAGTGTTTTAGTAAACAAAATATATTTGTGTAGATAGTACACCCAAGGTAGTATATGTAATATTAATAATGTTCTCAAGTGTTTTAGTGTAACACCCGAGGTATTATATCTTCTGTTCTCAACAAGTGTTTTAGTATACAAAAAATATATATGTAGATAGTACACCCAAGGAATTATATGTAATATTTTCAACAAGTGTTTTAGTATACAGAATATATTTGTGTAGATAGTGCACCCAAGGTATTATATGTAATATTTTCAACAAGTGTTTTAGTATACAAAAAATATATATGTAGATAGTACACCCAAGGTATTATATGTAATATTTTCAACAAGTGTTTTAGTATAACATCCAAGGTATTATATCTTCTGTTCTCAACAAGTGTTTTAGTATACAAAATATATTTGTGTAGATATTACATATTTCCCCAATTTTCTCGGATGTTCTTTTAAAGTCGTTCGGAACTTCGTTTAGTATTTGTCTGACTCATCGTTTAACGATATTAGCCGCTTTATTCACCATAAAGGACTAAATAACCTAGTAGAATTCCTTCTAGTCCTATTGACTACAGTTTGTAGTGAACCCTAATGTACGTAAGATGTGACAGACGTGTATAATATCACGGAAGGTATCAACTCTGAGTCAATGACAAATATAAAAAAGATACATTATACTCAGCAAAAATAATTGTATGAAAGTTGGAGCTAGGATAATACTGCATTGGTGTTTATGAATTTCAGTGATGAACTTAGGACTGACAAATATATACACAAAATAGTCTCTACCCTTGACGAAGCCCTCAAGTATGTGGAAACATCCCTTCAAGACCAAGTTGAAACTGTTTGGATATTTGGAGGCCAGTACGTCTATACTGTAAGTAGTCACGTGACCTCTGTTTAGAAGAGACAAACGTGAACTTTGTGTAAAGTGATGATGCCCGAGTCTTAGAGACACGAAAGGAAAATTGTGAACGTAAAAACGTAAACCTGATTACAATCACAAGTTACATGGCTTCGTTAGCTTCGTACCACGCTTCAGTAAAAAGCCATGAAACAGGTGATTTTAATCATTATGAAAACAAAATCTGTGTGTGGAAACATTTGAAACTTTTTTTCGGGGAAAGCATTAGATTTGCTTGGACAGTTGTTGTTCGGTACAATGTACCTTATCAATGCAATTTGTGTCAAAATAGAGAAATGTCGTAACTCGTTTTTCGTAACTGCCATTCCATCAGAGCCAATTTTTGGTTGAGCTAGTTCCGCGCTAAAACGCATTTAACCATAAGTAAACCGAAGTAACTTTAACAACAACTGATGGCATGTTTATAAATCTAACTGGATATATTTCGTCAGACTCAATCGAAAAGTGTACATTTAATAACGCTGTGCACTTCATAGAAAATTTAACTATTACTCCCGCATTACTTTTGAGCTTTTACTGAACGCTTGTTTTTTCCTGCGTACAGTTATAACAAACAGCTTTTAGAACTGTTCCATATAGTAGACGCACAGTTTATGACGGCGTTTTTTTATTCTAATCATGAACCTCGAGTTTTATGTTTTCTGTAGGATGCCGTCTCTCACCCGAGCTGTGATCGTCTCTACATCACACTGGTACACGGACACCACACAGCTGATACCTTCTTCCCGTCGTTTGAAGATTCGTTCGACGAGGATCTGTTAGTAATCTCATTTCTGTCGATATGTCGTTTTCAGGCACTTTTTCCTTTAGCTGAATCTTAACATATATTTCTATAAAGCTTTAGACAATGATATTCATTCTTTTAATCATTGCACTGACCATCACTGACTATCACTGACCATCACACTGACCATCACTGACTATCACTGACTATCACTGACCATCACTGACTGACCATCACTCCTGACTATCACTGACCATCACTGACCATCACTGACTATCACTGACCATCACTGACTGACCATCACTCCTGACTATCACTGACCATCACTGACCATCACTGTCTATCAATGACCATCACTGACTATCACTAACCATCACTACCTATCACTGACTATCGCTGACCATCACTGACCATCACTGACAATCACTGACTATCACTGACCATGACTGACCATCACTGACTATCAATGACCATCACTAACTATTACTAACCCTCATAACTATCACTGACTCTATCACTAACCATCACTAACTATCACTGACTATCGCTGACCGTCACTGACTATCACTGACCATCACTGACTATTACTGACCATCACTAACTATCACTGACTATCGCTGACCGTCACTGACTATCACTGACCATCACTGACTATTACTGACCATCACTAACTATCACTGACTATCGCTGACCATCACTGACTATCACTGACTATCACTGACTATCACTGACCATCACTGACTGACAATCACTACTGACTATCACTGACCATCACTGACCATCACTGACAATCACTGACTATCACTGACCATCACTGACCATCACTGACTATCAATGACCATCACTGACTATCACTAACCATCACTAACTATCACTGACTATCGCTGACCATCACTGACTATCACTGACCATCACTGACTATTACTGACCATCACTAACTATCACTGACTATCGCTGACCATCACTGACTATCACTGACCATCACTAACTATGACTTACCCTCATAACTATCACTGACTATCGCTGACCATCACTGACCATCACTGACCATCACTAACTATCACTGACTATCGCTGACCATCACTGACTATCACTGACCATCACTAACTATGACTTACCCTCATAACTATCACTGACTATCACTGACTATCACTGACCATCACTGACCATCACTGACTATCACTGACCATCACTAACTATTACTAACCCTCATAACTATCACTGACTATCATTGACCATCACTGACTATCCTTGACCATCACTGACTATTCACTGACCATCACTGACTATCACTGACCGTCACTAACTATTACTAACCCTCATAACTATCACTGAC